CCCCAAAACCCCAAAACCCCAAACACTAATATCTGCTTTCACAATAAAATAAGAGAAATTTAAGCAAGAAATAATATTGAACTGATGGTCACATGTGTCATTGTAATGCTAAAGCTATAATGCAAATACTCAGAGTCAACTCCATAAACAAGAATGCCATGAATGCAATTTTAGTCAGGGAGGAAGACTTCAAGAACTCTTCACGATATGTCTTTGAGAATACCACCCCTGGCTTCTTGTTTGCAGCTGCGTTAGCCTAATCATCCTCTCTTACCTCTACTTCTTCGTTTTGTTCATTAATCTGCACGTAATTATTTGGATTCAAAGAAACTCTTTGGAGCGAGTCAGTTCTGTCATTACCCTCCTGACTGGGATCCTTCTTTCTAAGAGAGACTACAAAGATAATCATAAGCAGAGCAACATGGTAGATGAATATCCAGATAGGTGGTGCCATTAAAATGAAATCTTGGACTAGTAGGACAATATAGGCCACGAACACATAAATACAGCAGATTCTGAATTTGATAAAACTGCACTTGCATCTGATAGCATAGAATAGGAAAATTGTGATTGTAATAATGACTTCAAAGATATGCTTAATTCCAATTACTACTCTCATTGCCTTAGTATCTGTTTTAGTATCACTATCACCAGTACCATCATCTAAATCATCTTTTTCATCTGGACTGGATGCATCAAATACTTCAAGTTGTCTATCTTCAAATCTCTTCAACACAAAGTTCCTGTACTGTTCTACTGATCCTCTCTCCTTTACATTCAAATTCTTATCTTGATTATTATTAATAACTATTTCCATATTCTTGAGTTACGAGTCAATGTATTGATAATCCTTCTTAATGTCTTGCTTTAATGAGTCCTTAAGGTTTCCATTGATTTAAGCCTAAATATCATCGATATCAGCTTTAACGATCTGTCTAGTCAGGTCAAAGTTAAGCTGAACCACACTATTATAGATAACTAGCAAATCTTTATTGTCATCGTAGCCGATGTTCTTCTTTACTAGAGAGATGTTTGAGTAATGATAGGATTTATCTTCTAAAATCCCCTTAAGCTTTCCAAGATAAGTTTTGATGTCTTAAAGATTGAATATGTGACCTGTTAAGAGGAAGACTTGGTGAGTTTGAGTTGCTCCATCTTTGAATAATTTAAGGAAAATAGTTTCATCTAAAATTGTCAGGGTGATACCTTTTGGCTGATTGAAAACATATGTATTTATTAAGTCGTAGAATTAGTTTATTTACTAAATTTGAGTATCAGAGGACTTGGACTCATCGACATAAACATAGTCTCCACTAATGGTTCCCAGGTTAATTATTTCACTCATTGTCTAGGTGTCAGGCTAGGCAATTCCAATCGCTGAAAACCTTGAATGAATACTGTTCTGGGTCAAGTAAGTGTGCAAGCTCTTCATAACTTTTTAAGTATCATCTGGATACGAATCTTGACCGTCACTCAGGAGGTATACATGAATGTTCTGCAGATTATTTTCTTTAACCTTGCTTAGGACATCCTGCAAAGCCAGATAGAAACCAGTGTCGCCTCCAGGAGTAGATTTATCATTCATATAAGCTTATAGGCTTTAGTAATCAGTGAATCCCTATGTATCAACCTCATCATCATAAAAAGTAACATAGAGAGTTACATTCTTAGTCAGATCTTTAGTGAAGAATGTCTTTGCAAAACTAAGAATCTAATCCTTTACTACATCAATACGCTTTTACTGGCCTAGTAGTGTTCCCATTGATCCACTTCTATCCACACATAAGAACACTGCCGATTTGTTATAAATATCAACTTGGTAGCTGTCCCATATTGAATTATTAACCTTAATTTGAATGTCTGACACGGCCATCTTATCTGAAATGATAGAGTAAGTAATTTGCCCTGATATGTCGTAGTTCGAGGTAATGAAATTGTAGAGACTTGCTATTATATAAAAGATCATCATTTTTATAATTATATTTTATTGCTAATCTCCTACTGAGATTTAAATACATTGATTATTTTTTCATATTTTGCTTCCCCCTAATATACATACTTCCTGGGGTTTTGGGGTTTTGGGGTTTTGGGG